ACCAAGGAAGAGTAACAAGGTCTTAGCCCCGGAGTAACCCAACATTAAGAGGTCGAGAAGAAGGTTAGCAACCAGAAAACAAGACTAGCCTGTGAGTAAAAGGCCTGAGAGTAGCAGGAAATCAGGAGTACGCTGTGCCCCGGAAGACAAAGAAGGTGGTTTATGAAGGGTGGGGGGAGATCAACTGTGCCAATGCTATTGAGAAGACATATAAGAGGAGAATTCGCCAGTAGATTTAGCAACATGGAGACTATAAATGTCCTTGCAAAGAGCAGTTCTAGTGAAACTACGGGGCCAAAGTTTGATTGAAATATGCTTAAGGAATAATGGAAGAAAGGGTGTAGGAGATAGTAATTATACACCAATTTTTTTCAAGAGGTTTTCCTGCAAAGTCTTGGGGAAGCAACTGGTGAACAGAGAGTGAGGCCAAAATAATTTTTTTCGTGTTTGTTTGTTTTAAGATTGAAGAAATAATAAAAAGAAAAGTTGAGCATATAAGAAAGGAAGGAAAGAGTTGCTGGAGCAAATTCCTTAAGCAGGTGAGAGAAGATAGGATCTAGTGTGCTCGTGGAGGGACTGGATTTCGATGGGAGCACCTGGACAACAGATAGGAAGGCTGAGTGTGTAGGGGCGGCTGTTGGTGAGTGAGTAGAGGTGGTGGGGAGTTTCTTCAGATGCTTCAATATTCATGAAGGATGTAAGAAGCTAGATCGTCAGTGGAGAACGGGGCTGCATAATGAGGTGCAGAATTGCTGAAGAGAGGAAAAGATGTGAAATATACACCTAGGAGAGTGCAAGAGTGAATGGAGAAGCATAGTATGATGGTGGGGAAGCATTAAGAGTCTGCTGGAGGTTGTGATCATGAATTTGAAGGCAGACCAGTCAGTGTGGTTGTGTATTTTTCTCCAAACATGTTCAACTGCATGGTATAGGAAGAGTAGGTGAAGATTTGGATTCTATCAAGCTTGTGGTAAAAAGCAAGTGTCACAGAGTGATGAAACAAGAAAGAAACACAGAAGTCAGGATATATGCAAAGCAGTGATTACAGTGATTTGTTGTAGTGTTTATTCTGGATACAGCTCTGCCAAAGAGGTATTGGTTAATGGATCAATGTCAACTAAGGGAGATCTTCTAACTGCATTTCACAGGCCTCCGTCTCTCACTCCACCTCGAGAGTTGTATAATAAAAATTATATTAGGACAAACAAATTAGAGTCATGGTTATAAAAATTAAGACGAACAAATATTTATTGAGTATATCCTTATACTGGAATCCATTCCACAAGTACAGTGTAGAAACTGATACAGTTCTGTCATAAAACTGTTAAATATATTATGTAACAGGAAATAAGTTCAGGTATGAAGATAGGGTCATCATATATGCCATGTCTTTAGTCTGCATTTGAGTGTGTACCATGGGGGAAAGTGGAGACTAAGATTTTATATCAACCAGCATGAGACAGTTGGAGGTACTGTGGTAAAGTTCAGAATTATAGAAATGAAGGCATAATACATTCATTAAGGTAATACCATCAATTTTTTTCTACCCAAAGTAATTCCTTTTTTTCATTTTAGGTATATTGCTATGTTTGCTTGATTTTATTACTATCTTCACTCTTTAATACATCTCTACTGAGCATGTGCTATAAGTAATATATTTTCCTATGTCTTCTGAGGGTTATAAAAATGAATCAGTCATGGTGCCTACTGCCATTAAGCTTACAGTCTAGTTGTTGAAATCAGATCTATTCACACATGTCTAAAAGAACATGGGGAGAGAGTGTAGATACAAAGAGGTTAAAAAATGGTAAGAAGCCATCTGAAAAGGACATGGCAGTTTCTTAAAAAACTAAACGTGCTTACAATATGACCATTCATGCACTCTAGGCCATTAATCCCAGAGAAATGAACTCTTATGTTTGCACAAAAACCTACACACAGATGTTATGGTAACTTCATTCATAATAGCCAAAAACTGTAAACAACTCAAATGCCCTTTAATGAGTGAATGGTTAAACAAACTATGGTACATCCAGACCACGGTATGCTATGCAGCAAAGAAAAACCAGAATGAACTACTGATACACACAACTTGGATTGATCTCAGTGAACTATACTGAGTGAAAAAACTAACCTCCAAAGGTTCCATACTGTATGATTCTATTTACATACCATTCTTGAATTGACAAAATTACAAAGATATAAAACAGGTTAGTCGTCACCAGGGGTTAGAGATGGAAACAGGAGTAGGGAGGGAGCCAAGTGGCTGTGGGTAGCATGAGGGATCCTTGTGACCAAACTATTTTGTATCTTGACTGTGGTGGTGTTCACACTAATCCACACATGATAAAATTACATGGAACTAAATACATATACACACACATACACGCACATAATTGCATATTTTTTAACTGGTGAAAGCTGGATAAGTTTGATGGGTTCTCTCAATGTCAACTTCTTGGTTGTGATATTGTACTATAGCTAAGTAAGATTTTACCATTGCAGGAAATTGGATAAAAGATACGCAGGATCTCTCTGTATTATATTTTACAACTGTATTGAATCTATGATTCTTGGAAAATAAAAAGGTTTTTTTTAATTGGTAAGGAATTCCAGAAAAAAGGATGTTATATTCCCTTGAGGAAGTCAAAGAAGGCTTCATGGAGGAGGCATCATTTGAACTAGACTGTAGATCTTGATATAATCCAGTCACTCTATGGTTAATAAGGTTTATCATTTTTAAAAGTGGAAATGAAAAATTAGAATAACAGTCAGAAAACAACTTGATGATATGTTTTGGAATGATCCAAAGAAAATTTCCTTTGTAGAATCAGAACAAGGAACCAGCCCATTTTGTTGGTCTAACTATTTCTTTATTTCAAAAATATTTATTCAACGTATTATGATGAAGTACCAATTGTTTAAAACAAGACTGTAGTTTAATTACAAAAAACAGTTATAAAAGTTACCATTTCTAGCTCCTACTATGTTCTAAGAACTATGCTGAGTAAGCACTTTCAAACATTATCTCATTTTAATCCTTACAACAATCATTTGAGGTAAACATTATTATCCCGGTCTTATCAATGAGTATATTGAGGCTTCAAGTGTTTAATTAATTGGCTTAAGTCGCACAGTTAGTGTAAATTCTGGGATTACTTCTTAAAATCAATGTGTAGATGATAATAAAGCTATGTTTTCCGCATAACAAAAAAATAAAAGAATGGTTCAACAAAATTTATTGAAAGACTATTATATACAAAGCACTTTACTAGATGCTGTGGGGAGAGTCATAGAAGATATAGAAGAGGAACTGCCGCCATCTTGTACAACTTACAAATATTATCTCAGTCACGACTTAGGTTTCTCCAATGAAATGGTTAAAACAGACATGTCCAAGAATGCTGAAACCTTTTATACGTTATCTTTCAAAAGAAGTTGTCATTTAAAAATTATGATACTGTATTATCTATTTCTCTGTGCACGTAAAGGTTGAACTATTGCTCATATTTTCACTGTGACCCAACCTCTATTTCTCAAATCTTTTGTAAAAGAAAATATCAAAAATATTTCTCTGGGGAATATCATGCCATTGTGAAATTAAACTTCTAAAACTTCTCCTTCGTTTAAATCTCTCCAAGTTTGTCTGCAGAGGAAATTTCTCATATCACGTTATAAATTTTATTTCAGTTTGGAAACTCACCTCCAGAAATATGGAAAACACTAATCATGATGTCAGTTTATATGAATTCATTTTTAAGTGGCTTCACAAAGACAAATTATATTCTTTTGGTTTTACAAGACCCTAATAAAGAATTTCTACTACAGTTCTCATTATTATTTGAAGAGACGAACGTCTTTCTTCCCTATATCGTCCAACAGCTTGCGGGTGCCACCTAGAGGCCAACTGTAGAAAATACTGAAACGGGGGAATCAACTTTTAGCGGAACACAGCGTAATTTAGTTTGAAAGGTACTTAAACCTCTGCTTAAAATTCATCACGTGCCTCAATTTTGTTTTTTCCCAAAAGATTTCATTAAGTGGAACAAAAATAGTTTGTGCCAACTATTTAACACTATCAATTCGTGTCAGTTTTCATGTTTTAGCCAAGTGCCTAAATTTTATCAGTTCATACGCCAATATTATTTCGGTGAGTAAAAGTCAAATTTTTCCCACTAATGTTGATTTTCAAAGTGGTTACGGTGCAATACAGAACTTGTATGAGTAACTGTATACAATGAAGAAAGGGTAACGGAAAGATTCAGTGAAATCTCACCATTAACACAGCGTAGGTCATGGCACACCAGTCCTAACTCCATAATGGCCTGGATGGATCACTTGCATGCTGTGTCTTGAACAGCTCAAAAGTAATAGACCAACACTAAAATTATGAAGGTGGCTGATATTAGGCCTTTACTCTTCAGTTTTGTATCCAAGCAATTAGCAATTCAGTGCCATACTAGATGTTGCAGGGAGACAGCTTCCAGAATAAATTCCCTACGACGACTTCCCTATGCTGAGTAAGCACTTTCAAACATTATCTCATTTTAATCCTTACAACAATCATTTGAGGTAAACATTAGAGGCGTCTAGGAGACCCTTGGTCCCATACCGGGAGGGAAACGCCCCCGTGCGGGCGGGGGTGGGGAGTGCAATCTTCTCAAAATGGAGGTCTGAGCTCTAGCTTCATTTGCACGACTACAGCTACACACTAACACCTCGACCTTATTCCCCCAAGGTTTTGCAGTTTGGGAAAGCTTTAAATACAAACACGCAAGCACTTGGTGATAATCCCATTTCATTCATAGTCTGGACTGGTTCTCCCTTCATTCCCTCCCATTCAACCACACAAAAATCTTAACACATGAGGTATGTTGATGGTTCTTAAATGAATTTTCGTTCTAGCCCCAGAAAAAAGAATTTGCAATAAATTAATTAGTGACATTTTCCCCATCTTCCCCATCCTTCATGGGCTATCATATTATAATGTCAAGCAAATGGATGATTTATTTGTTCTTTATTATATATCGATATCCTCAGCAGTGCAATGTTAAATAAATATTGTTTGCTTTAACTTAGTCAGAACAAGTACATTATATAAGTTTGTATAATTATCATAGTCCACAAGAAAATAGAATCTTCCCCACGTTTCTCTCTGTAGTTGTTTGCTGGAAAGGAAAATACAGCTATTTCTTGGTTTCTCTGTATTTTCTTAACTTAGTTCCCATTCTTTCTCCATCATGAAGTGTTTGGTATTTTACTGTCTGCTTACTTGACCTTTCATAATAAATAGGATCATTTTCCACATTTCATTAAGAAAAAAAAAAAAACCTGATAATTTTCTGTACATTAAAATGTAGTTCTTTCATTTTTATATTTCTTTTCACTCTTTGTCCTGCACCTTGAAAGTAGAAATTTTCTGAGATGAGAGCAGCTGAGGAAATGAAGGAAGGGATCACTTCAGATTGTGTTTACGCATGAGAAATTTATGTCAACAAGCCAAAATTTCGAGGACAGAAAACTTCTATGAAACAAATGAATGCAAGTTGGGACAGAATCCATCTGGCAGAAGCAGGATGCCCAGTGTGAAGGAGAGCTAGAAAAGAAGTATATGCATCAAGTAGACAGTTGAGTTAGATCCGTCAGATCTGGGTGACCTGCAAGGCTTCTTCTGCAATTCTATTTCTAAGAATGGCTTATGCACAAAAATGCATTCCATTCTATGGGTTTTTCTCTCTTAGACGCCAGTTTTGGAAGCAATCCAGTCCCGGAAGGCAGCCACGTTAGTATAAACACCAGGCTTATTGGGTTGCCCGCATTCGTCTCCCCAGCTCACTATGCCAGCAAGGTACCAGATATCTCTAGCATCTGAACTAACCAGTGGTCCTCCGGAGTCACCCTAAAGGAGAAGGGAGATATTAGTGATTAATAATTCAGTTCATTACAGTGGAATTTGCTACTTTTCTAATGAGTTTAATGAAAGGGCCATCTTCAAAAGTCTTCAGTGTGCTTAAATGCAGAAGTGATTCCTACTGTCTAAGTCAGTAATTCACATAAAGGAGGAGCTCCACCTCTGGGAAAATTGGCTTAGCCTCAGGGTTCAGCACACTGAGATTAAAGGTTCCATGTCCTTGGAGAACAGTACTCTTAACTTATCTAGTACATCTGACAAAACAACTCTCCTGCTCTTTATCAGTGTGACATAGCTCCCCAAAGAAGGGTGAAGAGTCTATTACTGATAAAAAGCACAAACATTAGAGTCGGACACCCAGGTTTACGTCTCAAGTCTGGCCCTTCCAAGCTGGCTAAGACCTTTAATTTACTTATTTGTAATGCTCCTAATAATACCTACGCCTGATGATAATTTTGAAGATTATGTAAGACAGTGAATGTAAAGTGCTTAGCATAGAGCCTGGCACAAAACAGAACTTAGTAAATACATATACAAAACCACAAATTCTGATTGTTTATGCCTATAAATTCCAGAGGGCTGTTTCTTTATACGGGTCATAAAAAAAGGTACTGGCTGATCTTTTCTCAAAATCTTGGGGTCCACCCATTAAGTGCTGAGCACTCTGTGAAGCTCTTAATTAACATATTATCTCATTAACTTGTGTAATTCTGGTAACAAAACATGGAGTTGGGCTTCATTTTCTCCATTTTAGCAAGAAGGAAACCGAAACTCATAGAAATTACATAATTTGCCTGATGTCACATGCTGTGCAGCGGCAGAATTGAATTTGAATCCAGAGTGATCAAACGCAGAAGACCATGCTTTTTTACCCCTACATTATACTAACTTCCTTGTGAATTTTCTTTTGTCTGTGTAAAAATATTAACTAATAGTAATAATAACTGAATTTAAAATAATGTGTTTGTAATTTTTAAATCAATTAACCAATAAGTATTTACTTACACCCTCAGATGTGATAGGAGATGTAAAAAGAGTGTAAACACATGGGCCTTGCCCTTAAGGAGTGTACAGTCTGGTTATAGAAATAAGATGCACCATATGAAGCTCTTTGAATAACTGAAGCTTTTTTCTTTTTAAAGATTTTATTTTTTTCCCTTTTTCTCCCCAAAGCCCCCAGGTACCTAGTTGTATATTCTTAGTTGTGGGTCCCTCTAGTTGTGCTATGTGGGACACCACCTCAGCGTGGCTCGATGAGCAGTGCCATGTCCGCGCCCAGGATTCAAACCAATGAAACCCTGGGCTGCCTGCAGTGGAGTGCACGAACTTAACCACTCAGCCACGGGGCCGACCCCTAACTGAAGCATTTTGATAATTGAAACCCAAGCCTATATGAAAGTAGTGTAGATAGGATGAAGAAATAGAAGATGCCAGAGACAACGAAGCTTAAATCCATTTAAGAGACAGGAGTGAAAGAGTCTAAAAATAAAGCAATCAAAGGAAAAAGATGGCAGTGTATCTAACAGCCATTACAAGCTGAAAAATAAGGTGAGTCCCTCAAGTATCAAATGGAGAAAGATATGGTCTGTTCTGCTAACACTAGTTAGCTCACACGTGATTGGTGAATAGGGGAGTTACGTCAATATAAAATGGAAGTTATGATGCTTTATACGTGTTTTGTCTTAGGCAAGGAAGCCAGAATAACAGGAGTAGAATTATACTCTTCAGAAGAAAAGGAAAAAGCTTTCAACTCAGCTAATACACAGGCAGAAGTCTTTGGGGATCTATTTTAAGAAAGAGTTAAATGAGTACCTGTCCAGGACTCCCCCACCAAAGAGGCACAACCTAGCCTCACTTAGTTCTTTGGTTCTGGCACTTTGTACTTTCTCGTCTGCTCAGGGCTAAACTCCCATAGGCATTGTCTCAGCCCCAGCAAGCTGGTATTTTCACTCTATTGTTTCTGTGTATTTTTAACATCCCCTAAATCAGCCACCAGCCACCCTTGTGCATTCTGCCTGCCTACACTGTCCAACTTATTTTTCAAGGTACAATTATTATTATTTCTTGTTCATTCTCTGGTTATAGTGTTGCATAGCTTTTGAAGGGTCTGTTGGTCTGTTTCTAACCCATTTTCCCCGTACATCTTGTTATTCTTAGTGAGTGATTTGGTGATAAACAGAACATAAAAGTTTATTCAGGAATGCACTAACAGAAACTTTTAAAATTAGAAGAAGCCAAACCAGGAAGCAACTGTATTGATCAAGATGTGAAGGAATGAAGGAATAGATTAACATGTTAACGGAAAGAATGGAGACAAAAGAGAGAAATCTAGAAGATATGGTAAAGATATTCTAGAACTTAATTGATTACACAGGAAGAAGATACAAGAGTAAAAAAAGACTCTAAGGCTGGTGAAACCCAACAGCATAAATGAGAAACTTGACAATAGAAAACTAGTTAACATTTCATGATGACTGTTGAGTTTGAGATGGCACATATAAAAATTTTAGTCTTATACTAATGCCTTAAAATATATAAATAGAAATGGTTTTAAAATAGGTGAAAATGTGAGACTAAATATGGACAAGATGTTAATTTTGGAGACAATAGATTTGGAAGTCATTAAACTGACAGCTGAGTTCAGAGAAAAGATAGCTTCTTGAGTGAATATATAGAGAGCAGAGAAAAATTTCATGTTAGACCTGAGTCTTGAGGCATAACCAGGCTTAGGGAGAGAGAGAAAGAGGAACCAAAAGGAGGAACCAGAACTGAGTGCTTAGAGGAGGAGACAGGAAATCAGCATATTTCAGGATCCTAGAATTCAGAGAAGGATCATATTTTAAGAAACAATGGGTGGCCAAATGTCATTGAGGTAGGAAAGACTAGGAGATCTAAGTAAATATTTTTACATATGAGGTTAAGGATGATTTTTGAGATGTAAAAAAATGTATGAAGCCAGTCAAGTGACAAAAATTGTGGAGGCTAAACATAAAAGAGAAAAAAAAATGGGTTCTGGGTCCCCTCAATGATAGGAAAGCAGGGTATTGTAATAACAGGGCTCACTTTGATTCCTCTTCTTTATTTCTCCAAATTTGTAAAGGATATTCACCTCTAATACCAACATCAAAATGGCATTGTAATAGGGGACATATTTTCAGATGAAATTATATGACACCTAGGATTTACTTCAAAATATATCTGCAATTTAGGGTGGGGAGGGGAGGGTTAAGGGGATTATGTTAGGGTATATAGGGATGAAATAAGATTGTTGATGAGTTGACAATTGTTGAAGTTGGATGATGAGTATATGGGGGTTCATTATACAGTTATCTCTACTTTGGCATACACTGGAAATTTTCTGTAATAAAAACTTAAAAATAAAAGACTAAAGAGGCATACAGCTATAGCTCTGAAACTTGTAGGAGGAAGTTACTGTAAAGAGAGGCCAAGATATTTGAATGAAAATCATAAATGATGATCACAAATGTCAAAGCATAAGATGTTTTCAATAGTTTTAGTAAAATTGAAGGCAAGTAGAATGAAAGGGTTTAAGATGAGAGATGTAGAATATCTAAACAATGATTCTACGACTGTCAAAGAAGATAAAAGACAGTTGATTCTCATTATTCACAGTAGTTATGTTCTGAGAAGTTGCTGCAAACACTTAGCGAATACTGAATCATTGTTCCTAGGGGAAACACAATTAGATTTCCATGAGCTTCTGGTCAGATTTTCATCAACTGTTCAACACATAACCACATTTTGTGTGTTTCTGTTTAAAGACATTATTTAATATGTATTATTGGTTCATTAACATTGAAATCACTGCCAACAGTGCCGTAACTCATGCCTGAATGATGCTTATCTAACACACGTTTTCTCCATAGAGCACCTCACAGCCTTCTTGCACTTCACTTCAGCACTACACTTAGGTACTACTTGAAACAGCAAAATCACCAATAAAACCCACAAAAATGTGGAAAATGTGGCATTAAATAAACCACGAAAAGGACACAAGTCCTTTTTGGTATGAAAGATGAAACAAGAAAGCCCAGCCTCACGTTTTTCAACCACAGGTGAGAGTGTATGCATTTGAGTGACTCATTTTTTGCCACTCTGCTCAGGTTCATGAATGATCAGGAAAGCATCTTGTATATTGATTTTGGGTTCACAAACAAATTTTAGCAAGTATGCGAATTTGCAAGTACAGAATCTACAAATAATGAGGATCAAATGAATCTTTTACTAAGTTGTTTTTGTTCTGGTAGATTTATTTATGGAATCAACTTGAATTTTCTGTAAAATTTTGTAATGGGACCAATCTCTGTTGTTCCATGTCTTCCTCCACAAACAGTCAGGGCCTCAGAACACAAAAAGAAACACAGTGAAGTAAGTTCAATCTTGAGCATTTGTCAGAAGTGTGAAGAAATGTCAGCTGGGTGAAAGAGTCCAGTGTAGCCTACTGAACAATGCTAAAGTGACCAATCCAGAGGTAAAAGTTGGGAAAGGACTATGGTGCGGCCAGTTGTGGATTCAGGAAAGTGGACCCAAAGACAACAGGTTCACTGCATATGTGAGAAAAAGCATGAAAAATTGCAAAAAACAAAAAACAAAACAAAAAAAACTTAGAAATGAATGGCATACCACTCTATGGATCCAGATTGGTAAGCATACAGAATAGCATGAAATTTTAAAGACCAATATGGGGCTTAGAGAGCACTAAACAGAAAGTCTGTCAAATCACAAAAGAAAAATTATAGGGATGTTTAGGGACATACCCAAGGAATCGGTTATCAACCCCCTCTAAGATTTTATCAGCAAAGTGGATGAAGACATAGAGGTCATAGCTGTCATATCTGGCAAAGGCACAAAGTTGACAGTGCTAGCCTATGTACTGGAAAGCAAAATCACAGTTCAAAAAGATGCCTATGCTCTGACTGAAATGGAATAGATTTATTTATTCTTTTTGCTCAAGCCAAATGCAGCTTAAAAAAAGAGAAAAAAAAAAAGGAAAACTCTAAGCATTAGAAATAAAATAAATATAAAAAGATTCTAAAAGATATCCTGGACTTGGAGATGAAGAAACCAGCAACCTCGCAACCTGGCAACAGGTGAAGCTAAAAAGAAGGCTCAAGAACAGCCTTCTGCGGGCCAACCTGGTTGCACAGTGGTTAGATCCAGCATGCTCCACTTCAGCAGCCCAGGTTAGTAGGTTTCGATACCGGGTATGAACCTACACTGTTCATCAAGCCATGCTGTAGTGGTGACCCACATACAAAATAGAGGAAGCCTGGCACAGATGTTAGCTCAGGGCCAATCTTCCTTACCACACAAAAAAAGAAAGAATAGCCTTCTCTTTCTAACCAAAGAACCAGAAAGAGGGCAACCTAGGAAAACAGAAAACTTTCAGACAGCATCTTCTCCACTCCCGCCAAACATAGAAAAACTGTGGTTCTTCCCTAACCCCCATCAGCAAAGGCCAAGTGAGGAGCTTAGACTTCCACTATTACCAGGCTGTAATGAGGCCCAATCTCCTGCCAGACTGGTGTCAGAGAAGACTGAGTGGGAAGCCAAACTTTCATCCTTGCCACGTGGTAACGAAACTCTCCTCATCCTTCCCTGTGGTGATCAGCTGGGGAATAGGGACTACCACCCATTTTAATGAGGCATAACTCTCTCTCCCATAGGGTGATAGCAAAGGAGATCTTGTGGAGAGTCAGGAATGGCACCACTGCCAAGCAGTATTGAGGCCATAGCCCCATGGTCTCAGTGGAGGCCACAAGAGGAGCAATAACAAGGTGTTCCCAGCAGCAACTCTAGTTGCCAGAGTGGCATCAGGGGTTGCCTAGTGGGGAGCCTGAAATTCCACCTCCAACCAGCAGTAATGAGGCACTGATCCCCTGCCAGGTACCAAAAGTGGATGAGTGTGGAAGGAGGTGGCACCTCCCTACCTTCTCCAGTGTCATGTCGGAGGAAGCCTGCTAAAGCAGAAGATTTAAATAAGATCCAGAGACTCGTAACATAATACTCAAAATGTCCGGAATACATCTGAAAACCCCTCATCACACCAAGAACCGGGAAAATCTTGACTTGAATGAGAAAGGCAATTAACAGATACCGCTGCTGAGATGACACAGATGTTGGTGTGACCTGACAAGGATTTTAAAGCAGCCATCACAAAAATGTCTTAAAGAGCAATTACAACCATGCTTGAAACAAATGAAAAAAGAAGTTTCAGGAAAGAAATAGCAGATATAAAGAAGACTCAAATTGAAATCTTAGAACTGAAAAATACAATAATCAAAATTAAAAAAAAAAAAACTTGCTGGATGGGCTTAACAGAAGAATGGAGATGACAGAATTAAAAATCACTGAACTTGAAAATAGAATGATAGAAATTACCCAATCTAAACAACAGAGAGAAAGGAGTGGAAAAGAAAAAAGGAACAGAACCTCAGGGACCTCTGAAAATTTTTCTACAAAGGGATACTCTAGTCAAAAGCGCTAATAGAGAAATCAAAATGGAATTCTAAAAACAGTTACCACATGATTCTATTTATATAACACTCTAGAAATTACAAAATTTTAGAGATGGAGAAGAGATTACCGATTGCCAGGTGTTAGTGATGAGACAGCGATGGAGGAAGGAAGTGGGTGTTACTATGAAGGTACACCTGTGTGTTGATGAAACAGTTCCCCACTGCAGTGGTGGTTACATGAATCTGCACATGTGACAAAATGCCATAGAACTAGAAGCACACGTTGTATCGATGTCCACTTCCTAGCTTTTATATCATACTATAGTTATGTGATATGTCACCATTGGGGAACACTGGGTGAAGGGTACATAAGACCCCTCTGTACTGTCTACAACTTTCTGCAAATCTATAATTATTTCAAAATAAAAGGTGAAGAAAAATTATGCAGCATACTAATAGGTCAAATCACTTACCTGGCATGCATCTCTTTTTCCTTGCAAGGAGCCAGCACATAACATTCTAGGAGTTATGGCATTATTGTAAGCTTGAGGCTCATTACAGGTTTTAGTGTCTATGAAATCCACCTTTACTTGCCGAAGATGATTTTGACTGTTACCTAAAGGGAAAAAATTGTCTTTATATTTGTAGATATACATATATTCTATAAACCTGAAGAAAGTCTTTCACAACTAGTGGATAAGAAGGTGATATAGAATCTTAGGATATATATTTTTTCAGATACAGTAATATTTGGGAAAAGAATTCTTTCCTATTTTCAATGAAAAGCTAGGTGCCTAGGAAAGAACCTCAAGTTCTTTAAGTAATTTCCATTACATTAATAAGCTTAGAAGGTAATTTCAGAAGAGGGGAATGGTGGCTTTATGATTCGCTGGTATTCACAATTTGGTATATTAATAATCCTTAATCTCTTACGTAGTTAATTCCCTAGTAAAAAGTTCAGACATATTTACTCTTTCAGACACCTTACCAAGCACCATTACTACAGTAGGAGTGATGCACTTGATAGTAACCTAAGGTGTGAAGGAATTTATGTGTCTTCTAAATGACTTAGTTCACAAGTAAGGCTTGACTTGGCCCAGGTCCACATGACCAACTCACCAACATATTTTGGCATAATGACACCCATTCTTTAAATGTCTCAGAATACCAAACTAGATTACTATGATTTTAGTTTTTCTTGAGATGCTCACCATCACTTTGCAGTGCTCCAAATCCTGTCACAAACATCTCATCACCTGGGTTAAACTTGTGGGATGCATCAGGGAGACAAACTCTGTGCACAGCATTTGTGTAGGGAACAGGGCTAGACAGCTCTGCAACTGAAATATCATAGTCATGTGATGGATATTTGTATTCTTCATGAACAATTATCCTCCGGAGTCCTCGTTGCATTTTCGGAGGCTTTATTGTTACTCCAAAGGAAGCAGTCCATCTGGCTGGGTCCTTATATCTGGGGGGAAAGCATGAAGAAGAAATTTCACTTCACTATGTTATCAATATAATGATTTATGTTAAACTATTTAGTTTCCCGGTGTCAAAATAAGTTTTCTTTTTAAAATTATAGTTTTTATGTATAGAAACAAACTTTCCAATCTGAGAATCAGGATCAGGGGTCAGATGCGGTGGAAATGCCAGAGTGGTGTGTTTCTTAGGATATACATGCCACTCTGCATGCCAAGTCACCCACTCCAGATCCTAGGGCCTTTTGATATTTGGGGGCATCAGTAACTCCAAGGGACATACGGAAAGCATATCCTGTATAGAATGAGAAAACTAAATGTATTCTATGTGCACCATATCGCCTACCCTAAAACAGGAACATTTGTCTGAAAACCAAAAAGGCGACACAATAATTTAACAAAGCATTACTATTCTGTATGCTGTAGCCAGTCCGCACAGGGTCAAAAGGTCTCCATCCTTGGACTATAACTAGTCGACCTTTTCAGTCGTATAATTTGTTACTACCAAATTTCTTTATATTTAATGCTTTCTTACCATGTGGAATTTCCACATCAGGGTCAAACCTACAATCCATCTAGCCACTTTCTCTGATAAAGACACAGCAGAGAGATATGGCTCTTCTCTTTGATATCAAGCTCAAAGTCCAAAGATGACTTTAAAATTCCTGTTTCCTTTGAGAAATTATTGTGTATTTATCAATGGATGACTTAGCTACATGTACATTGATGCCATTTCCAGACTATAAAACCTCTTATTAAGGTGTAAGAATTTTCCTTCCTGCCAAGCCCTGGTGCACATTGCTTACCCCCAACCGTTCTCAAGGTTCAGGACTTACACTCTAAAGCAGTGAGCAGCACCCACAAGCCACGTGTCATTAATTAAAGCTGCTCCGCAGCGATGGATCCCATCCCATTGCAGGCTGGCTTGCCACGGCCATTCACCCTCTTCTACCTCTGTCCCACCGACGATCCTGAGACCCTGTTTTGTAGTTTTACTCCTTCGTGTCCCACAGCCTGCCAAAGAGAGATGATGTATTAGTTAGCAGCTGTATTTAAGTATCAAATCGTGTTACTAGATCTCAAATTTCTTCTACATTGTGTTCCAGTGGTATCAAATATTTTCTCCTGTTCTTCCCTTTCCTTAAACTGTTTTGTGTCATTTATTTAAACTCCTATTCATCTTGTAAGATTTAAATCAGTCATTACCTCCATTGCAATGTCTTCTCTAACAATTCTCCTGCCCCCAAACTGAATTAGTTATGACTTTCTTGACGCTTCCATAAGAAAATAATAATATTAATAGTAATATTATTATTATTTGTGTGTGTGTGTGAAAAAGATTGTCACTGAGCTAACATCTGTGCCAGTATTCCTCTATTTTATGTGGGATGCCACCTCAGCATGGCTTGACAAGTGGTACTAGGTCCATGCCTGGAATCCGAAACTGCAAACCCCGCCACTGAAGCCAAGCGCGCAACTTAACCACTATGCCACCAGGCAGGCCCCAATAATATTATTATTAATATAAATAATAATAATAACAATATTCTCCATGTGTGCATATACATATGTATCTCTAGGTATATACATATGTCTCTCTCTCTCTTCATATATATATATATATATATATTTATATATATATGTCCTTCGGCATTGTTTATTACAGGGTTTCTCAACCTTGGTACTATTGACACATTGGTATGGCTAATTGTTTTTGTGGGTGGCCGTCCTGTGCATCATAGGATCCCTGGCCTGTACATACTAGATGCCAGTAGCACCGTCCCACCCCCAACAATGATGATAAACAAAATGCCACAGTGGGGCATGATCCCTTGGGGGTCTAAATTGCCCTTGTTTGAGAACGGTTGTTTTAGAATGATGTATTCATGCATTAGTCTCATTTGAGTATGAGCTGCTTTAGACAGGGATTATATCTCATCGATTTTATCTCCTTATTGCCCAACACAGAGCTAGCATATAGTAGGTTCCCAGTAAATATTGCTGGCAAGAATATATGCCATTTAAGTAATGGGATTATCCTTTGCTCTGAAGTTTATGAATTAACCAACATTCTGAGCTGACGAGTTGCACATTTCCTTCCATCTTTTAAGAGAAAAGTATTCAGTACTAATTCCATAATTATCGAATGTGTCTCTAAATCTAAATCTAAATACTCTGCTACAAGGGAAGGGAAATACCAGACTTTTAAAATATGATTACTTTTAAAATATGGCTAAAGATATCATTTAGGCCTTCAGTAATTTCATCAATGTATACCCCAACCCTATAATTGCCTGAAATTTCCATAATATGGGATTAATAACATCGAGAAGATTTTATTTATTGTAAAACAACAAGTCTCTAACTCTAGTTGAAAAATACCAATGTACAGATTACTTTTATATCATCTTTAGAAAACTCCTGTAAGAGTTTATAATAGATATCTGCAATCAAAATATTGAAGAGTATTTTTTGTCTTTTCTTTAATAACTGCACAACTCACTTCCACTACACATCCACCAGAGGCACCCATACATCCACTCCAAAGGTCTCCCAAGTTTGTCATTCTTAAGTAATGAAAGTTGCCTCATAGATAAGATAAGGCACCATAAGCGGTGTACAGGTCAATGAACTTTATTCTGACCCTATAATGCCACACAAAGTAAGCCTAAATGATCTAGTGTTAACTTTTTACATTCAAGTGATGCAATTGTAATAAATATATTAAACTTACAGTTGTTCAGAAAGTTGTCCGTTTCTGTATTGTTAATTTCTGAAATATACAGAAAAGGTGAACAGAACAAGGTCAGCACATCAGCATAATGCCTCGAGTACTTCAAATACTAAGGGCTGCTTAATTCCATTATAAGATAGTATCTTTAGGTTGTAAAGCAAGCAACAGTTAATCATAGACATTGTACGTTCATTGCCTTGGGAGAAGGGAGATCTGGACAGTGTTTCTTAAACTTTTGTATGGACAAGAGTCACATAGGGAGCATCTTTATATTGTAAATTCCTGTTTCTTTTCCCAGTAATTTTTATTTAGTATTTTTGTCTTGAATCCCAGGAGTCTGAGTTTTATACCAAGAAATAAGATGCAAGTGGTCTACAGTCTCTTTGGGGGAAATACTGGCCTAAACCATAGTATTCATTCCCCAAATGCAATAATATTTTTATTGACCATTATTTCAGATTATTTTACTAAACTCATAGGCATAGTCCCATTTGTATAACATATCCAAATGGTGTCTCCATAAATTATTGTTCACTCCCATTTAAAAACAATGTTATCCCTTTCTAGGTCTTCTTTCTGCTAAAGTTTTAGCAGGGCAATTTGCCCTCAAATTGTCATTCAACTCTAGCCAATGGTTCCTTAGCTTGTTGACTTCTCATCTATCAGGCCCTAACCCTATGCAAGCACTAAGTCAACCAGCAGATATGTAAAACTCTAAGCATTCAAATTTCCTGACTCAGTATATTTCCAATAACCAAAACTATTCTCTTTGAACATGGCAGGATGAGAGTTCTAAATACAAAAATTTTAATGTTAATTTTTCTTTTAGTATTTAACAGTAATGATTTACTAGAAATCTGTATCCTTGAAAGGCTTCTTTCTGACTTTCTCCATTCAGGTTAATTTTGGGAAAAATGGCAAAAATAAGGAAGAAGTGACCATTTATTCTCAGTAAATATTAAAAACCTCCAGCACTAATCTCTCTGTTTCAATAAGCTGTTCTTCTTTATCTCAAGTTCTTCCTGGAGAAAGTCCTGGCTTTGCATATTGACACTACTGGCAGGGCCAGCTTAAGAGATATGTGACTTATGTATCTACACTGGCTGCTACTCTCGGCATGAACTTGAACTTGGTTTAATGCTTACTGACTTGAAATTCTTAATAATTTTGTCTCATAATTTGTGTTTTGAAAGTGAAGTCCTATAGGATAATGGAGCATGGCATGAGCAGAGGAGATACACACAATACGTGTGTCCACAGGTTCTTGCTGCCCCATTTGCATGTATCATTCACGATACCCCACGAACCCAGAATTCCAGTGGACCTAAAATGTTCAGCAAACTCAAAGTGAGTACAAGATAAATGAGTGATATCTACCACTAAGTAGGCAGAGGGCACTGACAGTCCCAGGAGGTCATGTTTTCTGTTTGAACTAGAACTCGTTTAGAACACAGAAAGAAAGCAATGACATTGTAATAGACCCAAACAGCCAAGGGACCCTATCATATCCTTTCTTGCTCCCATTACTTCTTTATTAGCCAGCAGCTTCTGCTGAAAATAATGACATAGAAGGACCTTTCAGTCTTTCTTCACTTAAGCTGAAGGTAGAGAACATTAGTAAAATTTCACACATTAAACAAGGGAAATAAAAAACTCTGAGGTAGCCTTGTGTAGTGTTTCTATTGATCTGGTAAGAACCAAAATACACACATGTATGAACTATGAAATACGGTTGAATAATTTTTGTGATTCCACATAGAAGTTAAATACTCTTATATTTGCATTTGAAATCGACATTTCACAGTAGGAAAGTAAGCAGTAAAACGCACACTAGTAATTTAAGACTTTAATTTCTTCACTTAGCATGACGTTAATTAGTAAATAAAAATACCATAAGTCAAGAGAGTCCATGAAAGAAAGAAAAGTCTTATATTTTAGTACCTTTAACAGACCTTTTAATTGCTTTTTGAAGAGTCCCAACATTTTCGTTTTGCACTGGGCCCCACAAATTATATAACTGGCTCTGACTAGTGAAATTTCCCTTTCTAAGCAGGTAAGGTGGCTGACCATGGTTAGGTCTCTAGTTAGGTCTGTCAGCTTTTATATTAGTACTTCACTGTTTCTACTCATCCCCTATTCTCTAGTCTCTAGTGCTGCCATATCCAATATTGTATCCACTAACCATATGTGCCTAGTGAGCTCTTGAGATGTGGCTAGTCTAAATTGAAAAGTACTATAAATTTAAAATATATACTAGATTTCAAAGCCTCAGTACAAAAAAATATATATATAAAATACCCCATGAAATAATTTTTATGTTGATTACTTGTTGACATAATAATGCTTTAGATATATTGGGTTAAATATACAAATTATTTAAGTGAATTTCACATGTTTACTTTTACTTTTTTAATGTGGCTACTAGGAAATTTAAGATCATACATGTGGTTTGCACAGTATTTCTATAGACTAGTATCGTTTTAGAGCACATGACTTAGCTCTTAACCAAACTTTTATTTCCACTGAGATTTCCTGTTTCTTACTTTTTAATAATGAGGACCTACCACTGCTTATTTCATCCCCCTGTCCCCCCTCAACACACACAAAAAAGGACCCTCAGACTTTTCAAATTAGTTGTAAAATATACCAAAAATAAGTATAAATAAATTATAAATTTTTCGTTGGTTAATGTTCTAAGGGAAATAGCTATCTATATCTATATCTATATCTATATCTATATATATCTCAAGATATATCAATGACATTTGGAGGCAAACATGTGGATGGCATGAACTTTTCCACACGTTATACTGAGAAGGTAAAATGTAAGCAAGCCATTTTCTCCATTTATCTTCGGATTCTACAGCTAAAGTGCAAGGCCCAATATAAAATAAGAATCCAGGCCCAGGAGTTAATGACAGGCTTGCATGGGAGGCACAAGGTTAGGGTAGTTTTAAAGACCGATTCAGTCCCAAAGAAATATTCTCTTCATGGCAAGACTCCATAATTAGAGCATATCCAAAAAAGTTTTTAAAAATCAGTGCCCAGGACCAAACTTAACGTGGAGCTATTCTACATAAGAGAATTAAACTAAATAAGAGAAATTAACTTACTTTTTATTTCAACTGATTCAGGGTTTAATTTAGGAGGCCCTACAGCATCTTGTAGCTTTTGGTGTAGAACACGTTGAATAATTTTATTTATGGCTTCAGGATCCTCAGTAGAGCGAAATCTAAAAATCAGCAGCATATGAGCAAACACTCCATGTTCCTCTTGACTTTGGACCAAAAAGAAAAAGAGGGTTTTAAAAGATATAGTTCTGAATAAGATTTATGGTAATATCACAACATATTTTTTCTTTGTCATTCATTTGAAATATGCACACACAAAAAACAAATTCATAAGTGTAATTTTAAAAGATCCAATTTGTTTCCTTCTATATTCCTATTGTTTACCACTTATAGAACTTCCAACTCAGCCTCCCTGATAGTGAGCTAGTATGCTCATGATCTCTCTTACTACCAAAGGATGCAGTTAAGTACATGGTTATTAATAGAAAAAGACACTTCTCTTGTCAACCACTCAAAATTATCAAATATAATAAATGGTGAATATAAAATCGACTCTGGCTTTGGCTTTCAGGCTTAACTCCCAGTGACTTAAATCCATTGATTTCTCCTAAGCAAACTTCAGGCTCTCCTAAATAACTCCTAATCCAAATAATATTCAAAAGCTTGACCAAATTGTATTGACTTCATGTGACTGCATTTTCAGGATGGAGTATTAATTAGCCTTAGTGTTATTTGAATGAGTTACTACCTTGGAATCATCTTTGACTGCCCTTTCTCATGCTCTGTCAGCTACTCTACCTGCTCTTTTTTTTTTTTTGCATACAATCAGTTCCCAAAGAATCTTACTCCTCACTATACACTGCATCGACTCCTACTCACATAAATTGTCAATGGGAATATAAATTAGAATCTTATTTTTAGAGGGCAGCTTTATTTATCTATTATAACTTTTGATTATACATCCTCTCTGATACAGCATTTCTAGTTTTAGAAATTTAGTCTTAAAATACACTCTTGTTGGGGCTGGCCCCGTGGCTGAGTGGTTAAGTTCGCGCGCTCCGCTGCAGGCGGCCCAGTGTTTCGTTGGTTCGAATCCTGGGCGCGGACATGGCACTGCTCATCAAACCATGCTGAGGCAGCGTCCCACATGCCACAACTAGAAGGACCCACAACGAAGAATATACAACTATGTACCAGGGGGCTTTGGGGAGGAAAAGGAAAAAAATAAAATCTTTAAAAAAATACAGTCTTGTTTGTGCAAAGAGATAAGTATACATATCTCAATCATAACTTTGTTTTTAAATCAGAAAAATATGTAACAACCCAAGCATGCACCAAAAGGGCATTGGCTAAATCAACCCTGACATATAGTTGTAGTGAAATACTATACAGCCAGCTAAAGAATGAAATAGATCTGTATGCAGTCATTGGAAAGATGTACAAAATAAATTATTAAGAAGATGTGTTATTTATGGGAGTGGAATTATTGGAGAGGGAGTTTTCACTTTCCATTTTATGCAATACTATGTTATTTGAATTTTATATGTTTTTTGTATCGCTTATGTAATTTGAGGAAATAGGGCTTTAAAGATATTATTGTTATGTATCTCATCCCCTTTCACTGCCTCAGTAGCCCTGTACATCAATTATTTATTCTTTAGTCTTTCTCTTAAACTATTCCTATACTGGCTGCCTAACAGAAACAAAAACAAACAAAACCCTTTCTTTACCCCAGCTGTTCAATTTACTTCTCACTTTCTTATCACAGCAAACCTTCTTGAAAGGATAAATTATATTCTGCCTCATATTTACTTCATTGCAGTCTGCTTCCTACCCTTCCATTCCACGGAGTCTTTTCTTGACACTAAATGACTTCCTCATTGACATATCTAGTGGATTCTTCTCAGTCTTATTACTTGGTCTCTCAGGAGCATTTGTCAATGCTGACCACTCTCTTCTTGAAACTTCTTATCTTTATCATCAGTGGTGCCTCTCTTGTGATTTTTCTTTTTTTCCTGCTCCTTCCCTGTCTATTTCCTGGGTTCTTATTTTAATTCCATCTCTTTAAACATTGTTGTTCTTCAAGGTCTCTTCATCATCCTTTTTTTTTCTTTCATTACCCTTATTCTGAGAAATTCCATTCACATCCACATTTCCCAAAGCTTTGAGTTGATGATGAGAGAATCTTCAGCTCAGTTCCCTTTTCCTCCCCCAAATAAGATATTTCAAGCTCATATGGTCCCCCAGTATCTCAACTCAACATCTCTAAGACTGACTTCATATTTCCAACAAACTTGCACTTCTTCCTACTACAGTAATAGAAGAAAGACTAATGAGTAGAAAGGTTCTACAATAAAGAAGTAAACCAATTTGAAAGTGATTTGGAAGATAGAATAGGTAGAAGTTAGTTATTCATAAAGTGTGAGGGGCCCAGGAAAAGGAGGAGTGTATGATGACTTCCAGGTTTACCATTAGTGTGATTGGGTTTTCCTTGAGTTAAGGAATTTTCTGTGGAAATCCCATGTGGAGATGTGCATGGGTAGGCATATAATTCTAGAAAACAGTTTAGACTGAAAATAGAAACTTGGATTTCAATAACCTATGAAGCCATGTGAGTGGACGAAATCTTCTTGAGGGAGTGAAAATTTAGGGATTGGAGAAGTAGAAACAGATCCAAGAAAGAATAATATTTCAAATGCCAGAGAGTACAGAATTTTCGGGAGAAAGTGGTCAAAGTAACACCTAAGAGATGTCAGCTAATTAATAGACTGAGAAGTAACTCTTGGAGGTTTTGTCATTGAAATAATATTGGAAACAGTTCTTATCCTATTTTTGAAAAATACAAATAATTTGTATTAAGACAACATATTATTTAAGATCCTCACATGGCATTTTGCTTAAAATGTTATGCTCTGAACTCATACTTATTGCTGATTGATGATCAGATCTGAAATCTTAAATATTTGGAGCAGAAAGAGAAATATTTGTAATAGAAGAAAGTAAAGAAAAGTGATACGAAGGAAAACCAACAGGTGAAGACAAACCTCATCCACTACATTATTTTACGTAGGGCACTATTTGCTAGTAAGCCAAGGGATGTGGCTTGGGTCCCGATTTGTGCCGATTAGAGTTTCCCAAGATACAATTCTATAACATAGCCACCAATAACACCTCTGTCCCTTGCAAACATCTTGCAAATGCTTTCTTTTGGATTTAGAGAATGAGTAAGTCACATTGTAACCCATGATTTATACAGAACAAGTGCCAAATGAATGTCTGTTGAATTGAATTACATCATATTATTAACACTTCAAGCGGTATTTATAACTGACCAGGTTAACAGCTTTAGCTTTAAATAGTATTCAGAAGTCAGCATTTTAGATCTACATACCTGAACTTGATAATTTGAGACTTGAAAAAATCTTCCCTCAATGAAGATTTATGAAATGCATTTTTCACCTGTTCCAGAAATATCCAAAATATGTCAGTAAGAAGAATTTTCTGAAATTCTGCAAGTTAATTCAAAGCTTAAAAACATTTTTTAAAATTTAAGAGCAAAACACATGGACTGACGTGTCAACTGAGGAATCTTGAGTCCTTTTGGTATTCTACTCAGTGATTTCAACTGAACTCTGTCTTAGGAATTATAGGAGCTGGGGAACCATAGTTTTCAGGGGTCAAGAATGACCTCTGCTGTGTTACACTGAGAAAGAAAAAAAAGAGAGAATAAACATACTGTTTTTTGAAAAGTAAGGGTAAGCATTCACACCCTGAGATATAGATTTTTACTGTAGGTAGGCAAAGGAAATGAAATAATTCTGCCAAGTGATAGCTGGGTCATAGAAAGGTGTGCAGGACAGTGTCACATGGTTCCCAAACCTGGTGAAAGATTTGCCGAATACTCTGGCATAAGCTGCGCCCAATTCAGCACTCAAAATGCTCTTAGGAAGGCCCATGTGAGCTGGCATACTTAGCCTAACATGTCCTATAAGGTTTACTCTAATAAGGTGGAAGAACATATTTTGTAGAGATATTTCTTACTACTACAAGTAAGAATTCTAGCCAACTTAAATTTATAAATTAGGAATCAAGGCAAAGACGTCAAGTGTTTCTTGTTTTCTGTGTGTGGATATTTACCACACACAGTTACTACAAGCTGGTAATTGATTGACAGAAACAATCAGCCTTTTTATTCTTTCTTATGTTTCATTGACTCTTGAGTCTTTGCACTCAAGGACAGTAACTTCGATTCTGAGACAAATCAGCACAGTACAGATGAGTCCTCTAATGCCAATATTCACTTCGAAATTTTTATTTAAGGGCTTTTTTAATGAAATAATTTCAAAATTAGTATTAATTTTGAAGGGTATTAAAGAATCCTATCTATATTCATTTATATTTGTCAGTCTGGATTTTATAAAATTTATTTTAGTGAATGGCACAAAGAACCAGGAAAATAGTTGCATCTTTTCTTGACATTTTTAGTTCCATTTCCTTTCCTTAGAGAAGAGCTTACTCATATATTTCCTGATTTGGTGGTTGAGTACAAATACAACCAGGATTTAACCTCTCCATCAGCAAGACATCCACATTCTCAAGCTTATATTCTACCAGGCAGCTTTCAGGAGGGTCACTGCCATTCTCTTCTTACCCAAGATATTGCAACTGGAAGACAACTTGGAAATTATCTAGTCTAATGCCTTAATTTTCGCATAAGGAAATTTGTTCAGAATGGTAAAGTGATTTGCCAAATGACACAACACTAGATAGTAGGTGGTACTAGAATGAGGTGTCCCAACTCCTGGTGTAGGGTGCTTTTCATCACATCATACCACTAATTGCCTCACAGACTATCAGAAAAAGTCCCAATTGTTCTCTAAGTAATCTGACAATGATGAGAAGTCATCACACAGGCCATTGCTGTTTTGGCCTATAAGACTGATTTTTCTACTTTTTAAAATATTCGATTTATCCCTCAGGATGAATGTTGATGCCTTAAGGTTAGAGATGAGTATCCATGGATTTCCTATAGACTTATGTACCAAAAACTGGACCAAGGTTAGATATTTTTTAATACTAAAATACTACTAAAGTATGTTTCTGAATAGTTTCAATCTTCTGGTCTTTTGCTCAAGTTCTCTTCTTTAGGAAGTGTAGGATACAACAATCATTTTGGGGTTCACTTTCACAGTCTCAGAATTTCTGCATTCTGCTAATCAAAAGTGTAGCACTAGCTAAGGAAGGGTGAATAAGAGGGACAATAAAAGAATGACTGAAGGTCACTTGGTTCAGCCCTGAAAGACATACTCTCGAAAGTCATCTACTGTCAGTTTTGTTTTATCTCTCTCACGTAGGGCCTCTTCCCATTTTGCAAAGATATGCAAGATCAGTTGAATGGATGTTTCAGAAGCTAAGGTGCTAAAAATTATGGAAAAAATGATAGCATATGCCCTAGAAATGAAGAAAAAAACCCTTACCATTGATTCAATTTTCTGGCTCATTTCCATGAAATTTGTAGAAGCCTCTTTTCCAAAGTCATCATATAGTTTGTCACTTGTAAACGACAATGTGCTATAGTAATTGTAGGTCTTCCTTTGATCTATAAGGAAAGAGGCAAAAACCTTATCTGATTTTATCTGATTGTGTAAAGTATCATCATTTCTCCATTTGATGGTTGCTGCAAAGACTGAGACAGTAAAGAATGTCCCTACCCAGGTCATCATTTCCATCAGCCTGCCCTGAGCTTCTTGGTTATCTCAGACTAAAAGATAACAACATTCATCATCGAAAGATTTAGAGTATAAAAGCAGTAAGAAATGCTTGGTGTTCCTGTGGGTTAATTAGTCATGTGTTATCCATTCCTAAATAAACCACAAGGAGCAGCAAGTCACGCCATCCAAGCATAGAAACAGAGATGGATTCAGAAGCTTCCCAAGAATAAATGCATTTTTATATTCCAAAAATAGATTTTTCCCAGTTCAGTGAACTATGCATCAATTCAGGTGACAAGACTCTAGTGTAAGAAAATTTATTTTGGCTAGAGAAGGAGATGAGGACAGGGATTAAAATGTTAGGGGTTCAGAATATAGAAGTTTAGGGAGCTAAAGCTGCCGCCTGGCATAACCTTCCAGGAAAACTACTTAGTTTCACCTGGTTCCCTTGTCATCCATTTATTTTCTTCTTCCAGCCAAGGGATTGTCTTATCTGCTTCCTTAGCCTTTGTCTACACTTTCTGCATCCAGTTTAAGCAGCCCACATTTTTGGCCTGCAAAGAATTAATGCTACATAACTTTTCGTCTACCCTCCTGTACATGAAGCAAGCACAGAGCTCTCCAAAGACATTCAAAAAATATTAATGCTGACTAGGTTTTCTGTGAGAGACTGTGTGAAGCATTAGGAATGCAATGGTGATAAGACTATTGTGAATGGTTATTATAGGAAAATAGAGCATGCCTCACCCAGTCTCAATTTCTCACCTCTTCTCTCTTTCTCCTCATTCTTTCCCTCTTTACTTAAACCCCAGAGGAAAAGGAAACTAACATTGGGCACCTATGTCTCAGGTATATTCACATATCTCATTTAATTTACAATAACCCCATGGGAAGGCAGTATTATCCACATTTAACAGATAAGAACCACAGTCTCAGAAATGTAAATAAATTCCCCAACCTCAACATGACATAGCTAGAAAACGTAGAACTGGGTTTCAAGCCAACGTCTAACTCCCAAAGTACAAGCCTTTTTTTTTTTTTTTTTTTTGCAGAGAAGGATTTACCCTGAGGTAGCATCTGTTGCCAATCTTCCTCTCTTTTACTTCTCTCTTCTCCCCAAACCCCCAGTGCATGTCTATATATCCTAGTTGTAAGTCCTTCTGGTTCTTATGTGGGCTGCCACCACAGTATAGCCACTGACATATCGGTGGTGTGGTTCAGCAACTGGGAAACAAACCTGGGCTGCCACAACAGTGAGAGTACCAGACTTTAACCACTAGACCATCAGGGCTGGCCCAGCACAAACTTTCTTTACATGCCACTTCTTGAGGTGGGAAAAAACCAAACCCAGTCATTGAAGCTATAGGAGAAAGCTCTCATTATATAAGAGTTATGCAAGAAAAACTATTGGTAAATTTCAAAAGAACATCATGGCTGTTCAAAGCATTTGGTGGGACAGAGAGAGAAGCCACCAGTGAGACTCTGACAAGGCCTAGGGTGACACATAGAGGATATGAGTGGCAGGCTGGAGACACTGAAAGGTCAAGGTCTCCCAAGTGAGGGACTAGGGAGGTTTTGCCTTCCTCAACTCCCTTTCATTAAATGGTCTTGCCCTGAATGGCCAGTGTGACCTGAGATGCAGGCAGGTCTATGGCAATATGCCATTTTCAAGTAAAATGTTTAATTTATTAAAATATTGACCAATAGTTTACATTAGGTCTAAAGTTGGGCCCAAGATTCTGCATTTTAACAAGCTCCCAGAAGATGCTGGTGCTGTCGTATCTAATCACACATTGAATAGCAAGTTCTAAAGAGGAAGGGAACAGACTCTTCCATGTCCTTAGACCTGTTGGTTTTTTTAAATTATTAGATTGAATCATTTGAAATTGTCATTTACATAGGTCAAAAATGGTCATATACAGGCAATTTCATATGCTTCAACCAGATGAACAACTTCTCTACAGTCAATATTTTACTTTGCTCGATGGACTCAAGCAGGTCACTAAGTGTCAAAACATATTCCCATTTGCCATAATTGTATGGCAGGTGTAGTTGTTGAAAAATATTATTGGGAATATTAACAGAAAAGTAAGAGAAATAAAGATGAGCATGAGCTTGCTAATAATTTTCTAACAGGTTTGTAATTCTATAACCTACAATGATGTTGCTCATAATAGATCTACCTTCTGTTTTTCAAATCACAGAGGGGACAGAAATGTAGCCCCAAAAGCCACTGAGCACAAACAGCACACCCAAGTCCATGCTGTCCTGGGCTTTATGCCAAAATGATGTTTTTCCAAGTCTGATCACCTCCATCTTTGTCTATTTCTGTAATAGTTTTGTTTGCTTTCGTTTGGTTATCTAGGTGTGCCAGCTCCCAAATGCTCATGTGCTATATCCACACTGTTTTTAGTTTACATTCTCACATGGAGGGCATGTCACAAATATGACAGTAACAATCATCACAGCAATCACTGTTTATTCAAGTGCGTTGTGTGGGCAGTGGTAGTTGTGTGGTCCATATTACTCAGCTGATTATCCAAACAATAGGACCCAGGAACAGGTTAATGGAGAAATCTTGCCAGGTTCTCATTGTATGCATATGAGTAAGATGTGTAAGCCTTATATCACTTGGCTGGGAAGATGCAAAGGAAGAATAGAAAGGAAGATTTTCTCTCCCCAAGATAATGAGACCCTTAGCATTGCTAGGAAGTCCTTGTGAAGTCAGACAAATCAAAGTATGCCCCAAGAAAATGCCATAGGTATGATTCATCCATTTTTATTATTCATTGTTCAATAAACATGAAGTATCTAACATGTGCCAGGATCCTGCTAAATTTTGAAAATACGAAAGTGAATAAAATATAGTCCTAGTCATCCATGGAGAGGAATAATGATGCTTACAACATAACGGGACTAGGTATATTCAGAACAGAACTGTAGAACTGTAAAGTTATTTTAGCTGTTCTTTTTATTAAAAACATGCTCCAGAGAAATCATCAAAATGCAAATACTCCAAATTAAAAGATCAGCATGTGGACAAATTCTATCAAAAAAAAATCTTTACTTTAAACTGCCCAGAAATGATCCACCTTATTTGGGAAATTCAGATTGGACTTGTGTCTGCTGGGAGAAGATCATCAATTTACAGATCACTATTTCTCTTATCAGGAAAGCATCTTATGCAAATTCCCAATAAAATTAGAATCAAATGATTAGCTTCTTTGGTTACAGGGTCTTGAACATCAAAGCACCATCTAGTCACTAAGGGAGATACTAAACCAATAGGTCATAGTGAAGTCAACTAATTAAAACCTAAGGCAGAGTAGAAGGAAACTTCAGAAGGGTAGTTATACCCTGGAAGAACAGTTCTGAAGTACCCTGGGGACTTCTCCAATAACAGCAGTGTTCATGGTTCATCTAGCAGTGAGGTACCTGATTACCACAGAGTGAATCTCTTTCTAATTAACCTTCTCAGCATATCCTGTCCTCTTTAATTGCCTGCAATATATACCAAGATGAGATTTAAAATAACAGAAATAGGCACTTATTCAACAATATATCACTATGAGCATTTTTCCAACTTACTAGCACAGAATAGAGCCTACTTCTCTATGATCCCTGATTGTGTAATTAATTTATTGGACCATCAGGATTTCAGTGTTGGAATTGTTTTAAATCAAGGTGATTGCCCTATGACCTCAAACCACTAGACTCTAGCTCTCATATAGTCTTCCTCTAATTAAGACTTGATTATTGCATATTAATGAAAACTAGCATGTTATTTTTCAGCAGGAAGTATCACTACATCAAAGATAGAAGAAAGAATCTTTCTTGGCTTGTAAGGATTAAACAAGAGACAATGCAGGTAAAGAGTTCCTTGTACCAGCTATGCAAAAGAAGTTTAGTAATGAATGAATAAACCTGAGGCAAATCAAAACAGGAATGTACATGAGGAAATATTTTGGTTAAATCATGATGCCAGGGAAGTTCATACTTACTGTATCTCACATAATGGACGATGAGTCCAATGCACACCGCCAGCACAATTAGAGATATAAAGGTGATGAGGCCAATAACCCAGGGCTCCAAACAAGTTCGCTTCCTGGCCCTCACCACAGCTGGTCTGAGAAGAAATCAAATAGGTGGATTATATCACATTGCACGCTGCGCCCACTCCCTAGGTAAAGCAGATATTTCTGGGGAATTCAAGACACTCAGTTTGATGGTAGAGTATGTACTATTTTGGTTTAGAACACACCCTTGTTCTAATCCTGACTCTGGTTGCCTGACCTTAGGCAAGTAATTTGACTTCTTTGTGCCTATAAAAACGAAGATGATAATGATAGTACCTATCTCATAGGATTGTTGTAAGGATTAAATGATTTACTATATGTGAAGTGCCTACAACAGTGCCTGGCATGTAGAAAGTGCTATGTTAAGTGTTAGCCTATGATTTATCGAGCCAGCTATGTGCAGGATCCTGAGTTAGGCCCCGTAGGAGCTTCGAAATGTTTAAAGCCTGTTTCTACCCTTTATAATCTTAAACAGCTTATGAAATGTGTTATAACTTGAACCATACCAGGTTCCAGATAGAGTTTTTAATTCTATTCTCCTTCTATTTTTCTGATTTATTTCCAACCAAACTTTGAGGATATACATAAGAGACAACCAGAGTCCTCTTCTAAAGAACTGGAGTGTTTGAGCTAATATTTACCTCTAAACTTCAGTGATGCTGCAGGAAATCCCTTCTGCATGAGACTCCCCAATCTCTCCCATTTGTCCTGCCTTCAAAAACACATGTTACTGAAAAGTGTTGGTCAACCTGATTTTTCATTTGGTTAGTAAAGTTGCTGTTCCCTTGTGTTATATTGGTTGCCAAGCAAACTCAAAAGCTAGATAAAATGAAATAATAAAGTTAGAGTTGGCTAAGGAGTTTGAATACAATGCTGTTATTTTAAATTTCTTGAGGTATTTATCACGCGGGTAGATTCAGTGGCCTGTATTCTTATCTCCAGAGCTCTGGTGCATGAGGACTAGGGGAAAGTGTGGTGTTATCATGGAGGAGCACTGAGGGTTGAATCAGAGTGAAGAGAATTCTGAGCCCAGCTCTTTCCTTTACTAGTTTGGACAAATCATTTAGACTCTGAGCTAAGTTTCTCCATCTGTCATTATGAGACAGAGTACCCATTCTGTCTAAAGCACGTGTTGACTGTGGGACCCAGAATAAGATCATGGATGTGAAAACTTCTTGCAAACTGCAAAGAATTTTGCAATAAATAATTTTTGCTTACACAAATCGAGCAGACTCTGTTTCCTGGTGATATAAGACCAGAAAGTGATATTATCACTTTGGTCCCTGCTACACCGTCATCACATGCAGCTGTGCCTCAACACTCGGTTCTGCGGGAACACTGTTACAGAAATCAATAGTGTTATCTTCTCTACGTGACTCTGCCCCTGCTGAAGGCACTGGGGTGTAATAGAAGGCTCCAGAGACTCTACTTTGTCTCCTCCCATGTTCCTGTGATTTTCCCACATGGTCGTAGTCAAGGAAACTTCATCTTCCTCTCCAATCTCCTTCATCTCCAGTTCCCTTGAGTAGGATTCCAAACATCTGTTCCTAGAATGGCAATTACTGCAATATGAAAAGGCGTCTCCACAAGGAGCTTATTTTTTTAGGTGCAGATGTGCCTAAAAAGAAGAAGCCTAAAAACTGATTCTGGTTCCTTCATCCCTGAATGCTTTCTGTTCACCTGTTGCAGAAGGAAGGAGATGTGTGTAGCGGACGGACACAAAACTTTTGGGGGAATATGAGGAGGTAAGGGATTCTCAACTAATGTCAAAACATACTGGGTGAAGAATACAAATTTGTAACTGTAGGAAACACAATGTAATTTTCAAAAGTATATGATTGCTATATAGAGTTGTGAAAAATAAGAAGTTCTATTTGTTCCATAATAATTTTTAATCAAAACAGAAAAGTAAAACAATGCAGCCATTAAATTGATGAGGGAGAGCTACATGTGTTAATATGCAAATGGCCAATAATATATTGTAATGAAAAAATGTTGCAGAATAGTATGCATTCTATGTTCCACTTTTGTAAATAAATAAAACTATATATGTATGTGCATAGCAAAATATAGAGAGAGACACAAAATTGTTAACAGTAAGAAGTGAAATAATACAAATAGAAACTTTAATTCTAATTATGTAATTTTTTGTGTTATGGCGGATTTTTCTTAACAAGAAACATCATGGTTTGTGAATTAAACAAAAGAGAGACAAAGAAAAAGAGAGAGAGAGAAAAAAAATTTACAACAACAAAAAATTAACAAGGAAGATTAGACATGTCTTTTCGTGGAGTTCCTATCACTACAGTATCCAAGGTACCCTGGTGTCCTCCTTTGCTGACCCCCACCTTTCACAACTATTTTAGTGATGCTGTCTTTGGTGGCTTTAAAGGATGTAAGAGGGAAGGCATGGGACAAACAGAAAAGAGAATCCATCAAAAACACTTTGAATAAACAATTAAGAAAGTATGCTTTTTAAGTCCTGCCACCAACTTATTTATTATATAGTTTTGTACCAGCAGATTCAATTCTCTCTCTTACTTCCTCCATGTGAAAAACAGAGATAATAATTCCAAACCCTCCCCTACCTGATGAGCTATGTAGAGATAAAAATGATAAAGTATTTTATTATTTTGAGCTTCCAAGTATAAAATCATTTTATAAATAGAAAGGACTATTATTATCATTATTTTAATTATTAATAATAATGGTAATGACCACATTACTGAGATGTTTGTCAATTGAAACATTATTTCTTGCCTTCCCAGTGTGTATGGCATTCCTTTTCAAACTGATTCATTCTATTTCTTAATTACTTTTTTGTTGCTCTCTCAGCAAGTGATTCAATACTGAATTGCTCCAAATTTGATGCAGCAAAAGTGTGCTCAAAAAAATTAGTAAAATGGAAGAATAAATCGATTTTACATATTAACAGACACATATGTAATTAACCCCTTCCTGCACATAAACCCTCGTCCAATCATAACGGTGGCCTTTTGAAACTTATCTGAACTGCCTCATGGAAAACCACCTTCAGAAAGACTGGATGAATCCTTAGAGCTTCAATGGTATCAAATTCCTTTCTTTCTATGATTTTTCTTTTCAATTTGGGGACATATGTGAGTAGACAATGAGTATAGCAGGTAAATATAACAAGTGAATATAGCAGTTAAAATATGGGTACATTTGGGGCCAGCCCCGTGGCCGAGTGGTTAAGTTCACGTGCTCCACTTTGGTGGCCCTGGACTTCACCAATTCAGATCCTGGGCACAGACATGGCTCTGCTCATCAGACCATGCTGAGGCAACGTTCCACATAGCACAACCAGAGGCACTCGCAACAAGAATATACAACAATGTACTGGGGGGCTTTGGGGAGAAGACCAAGAAGGAAAAAAGGAAGATTGGCAACAGATATTAGTTCAGGTGCCAATCTTTAAAAAAAAAAAAAGTACATTTTTATAAGCCCCAAATTGCCAGAAGACAAGTAATATGTCCAGAGTTGCATTATCATTACCACTTCTTAATGTGTCACTTTTAGAATAGCACTAAAAAGGAAAAGCAGCAGCAACAACAAAAAGGCAAGGGAAACAGAATACTAACACAAAGAAAGCTCATGGCAAGCACGGGAGAATAAGTCAAGACTCATAGTGCTTCAAAGGAAAGTTTACCAGAACCAATCCCTTCATAACACCACCGCTATGGACTGATTCACAGTGGATCTCAAACTCTTTGCTCATTCTCTGTAATGGTGAGCTGCACTGATATTCTTAGTTCACATGTTTCACCAGCGCAGTCCAGCTGAGCAGTTTCAATGAACACGTGCACATATGTATAAAGCTGGGGGTGCCAGCCAAAGCATTATTATCAACTACTTAAGCCAGAGGTCAGCAAACTTTTCTGTAAAGATCCAGGTAGTAACTATTTTAGGCTTTCTGGGCCACACATTCTATGTTGCATCTACTCAGCTCTGCCATTGTAGCACAAAAGCAGCCATAGACAATACATATACAAATGAGCATGGCTATGTGCCAATAAAACTTTATTTCTGTACACTGAAATTTGAATTTCATATACTTTTCACTTGTCATGAAATATTTTTTTCTTTTGATTTGTTTTCAACCATTTAAAAGTATAAAAATCATTCTTGATTCAAACACTGTGCAAATACAAGTGGTGGGCCAGATTTGGCCCTTGGGCCATAGTTTACTGATGGCTGATATGAGTAGTAGCCTACAAGTCAATGCTAACTGCTTTGGGAAGCTATAATGATCTTTTCATTTTCTGGTCTCACTTGCATAGCAAATCTAATGTTTGGTACCACTGCCACTGACCTTGTTCTGGGAATTCTCACTAAAGCTGGTCCTATAGCTTAATAACAGGTTTCTCTTCTCTCTCCCCAGGCTCAGAATCACTTTCTATTACAATAAACTGTCTTTCTAGAAGTACTATAGCCGATGGCTGAGACTACTTGAAACCCAAGTGGGCCTCCATTAGCTTGGCGTTCCCTCTCTTCCCCAAAAGCTTTCGAGCTCTTTACCTTTGCTCCTGCTGCATCCTATGTGGAGTAACTTAGAATCTATTCTTTGCTTGTATCATAAAAGCCTGTGTGTATTTGAGAGTCAGTTCAAAAAGTGCCCTCCACTGGCCAGTGGCCGAGTGGTTAAGTTTGTGCACTCCGCTTTCGTGGCCCAGGGTTTGCCGGTTCAGATCCTCGACATGGACTTACACACCACTCATCAAGCCACACTGTGGCAGCATCCCACTTAGAAAAATTAGAGTGACCTACAACAAGGATATACAACTATGTACTGGGACTTTGGGAAGGAAAAAGAAGAGGAAGTTTGGCAACAGATGTTAGCTCAGGGCCAATCTTCCTCACCAAAAAAAAAAGTCCCCTTCAGTCAGATTTATTCACCCCTGAGTATCACATCAAAAGTACGCATTTTGAGCTCCTTGAGGATAGGGTTTGAGCCTTACTTATCTCTGACCACATGCTCAAGAAATGTTCACAGAGGGAATTGAATTGAAGTTGACTAAGGCAATTGAAC